GATTTAGAGGCCAAACCATTAACAAAGAGCCAAACCTCGTGAAAATCGGATGAGATTTGACCGAGTTATGAGGGTGGGAAATTTTGACCTATGTCCATGTAGGATATTTTAGGGTACCATTTTCACATAAATTTTGACCAGGAATAGTGTTGACAGATTTTGATGCCAAATTGATCTAACGGCCAAACCATTAACAAAAAGTCAAGTTTTATGAAAATCGGTTGATTTTTGACCGAGTTATGGGGGTGGGAAATTGTGACCTATGTCTATATAGTATATTTGAGGGTACCATTTTCACATGAATTTTGACCAGGAATGGTGTTACCAGGTTTAGATGCCAAATTGATCTAAGGGCCAAACCATGAACAAAAAGCCAAGTTTTATGAAAATCGGTTGAGTTTTGACTGAGTTATGGGGTTGGGAACTTTACACATATGTCTATACAGGATATTTGAGGGTACCATTTCCACATGAATTTTGACCAGGAATAGTGTTGACAGATTTTGATGCCAAATTGATCAACAGGGTAAACCATGAACAAAAAGCCAAGTTTTATGAAAATCGGTTGAGATTTGACCGAATTATGAGGGTAGGAATTTTGACCTATTTCTATATAGGATATAATCTAACCCCTAGTATTCACTTTCTTCTTGGTTTTGACACCCAACCCAAACGCGTCTTGAAGTTTGCACCTTTTAATTTGGAGCATAACTTCTATTAAGCTTCTTTAATATTCTTTCATCTATGTTTTTTATATATAGTTTTAACCATAATTGTATTTTGATTTATTTCTTAGTCTCTAATTTCACATCCATTCCCATACAGACCTAATTAACTTTTAACACCTTCAATAATCTCCAACTTTCTACACTTCATGTTCTTCTCTTGGTTTTATATGAACACAAGCTGACTCCTAACAAAATTTGGACAAAACTTCCAACAATTTGGTGCGTAACACCTAAGGGCAAAAGTTTTAACAATAAAACTATTTATACTTATTTTCATTGTTGTTACCGCATACATATATATATATATATGTGTGTGTTTGTAGACATATTTATTTATGTGTGTGGTTGTGTGTGTTTTTGTCGTCCCTGCAGCTGACCGCAAAAGCCACAACAAACAAATGCAATAAAAGTAAATATAAAAATAATTATGAATAGAAAAGTTCGTAGCCGAAAAAAAAACAAACAACATTAACAGGCGTCTATCACATTTTTGGCCTCCGCAGGCTTCAAAAAATTTTTTCTTGCTTTTGTTTATGATCTTAACTCAAATTAGAAATACAATTTGTAGCAGCAACCACAAAAGCTACCGAAGACAAGGGGCGACACTTGAAAGTGGTTTTAATGAAATGTCCACGCAGTCGCCAGACTTTGAAGCTCGCCCATTTAAAGGACTGCCCGGAAAAGCAGGTCGAGCAACAAAACACACACAAGTGGGCCAAGGAACGGAAGCAAAACGAATATTATGATAAGGAGACCACAAAGAAAAAGAAAAAAAGGAACGGAAGGGCAGCAAGAGGAACGCGCCGCATTGAAGTGCGGCTTCACATCGAGTGGGTTGGACAGTCATTAAAATGGAACTCGCGCAAATTATGCAGTCCGAAAAAATGATAAGGAGAAAAAAAAGCTGAAGAACTGACAAGACAAGGGTTGTAGTTGGAGGGGGGCTGGCGGGTTAAAGGTTGGGGGCTGGGGGTGGAGGGCAGGCAGCCAAAATATGTCGCCGATGTTAAGTGCTTCATTTAATTAACAAAGTTGACATGAAAGCGTGGCGCGCGCCATTGGGGAAAACCCATCCGCACCCTTGCACCCTTACACCCAGTCACCCACAGCCCCCCTCCTTCCCCCTTTCCCCAAAGGCTGTTCACCCTCTTCTTTTTTGTTGCCCCTTTTGTATAAGTTGCCTCAGTTGTTTGCGCTGCTTTCCTTTTGCTATTAATTGTTTGTGTGAGTTGGACAGACAACACGTGGCGTATACGCATTGCCATATTACTCATACGCCAGGTGTGCTTGTGTTTGACTGAGCGAGTTCTTTATACTTTGCTTAATTTGATTAGAAATTCGTATGTTATAACTTTCGATTTTGATATCTGGTAGGCGCTTCACATTGTATTTGACAGCATTTAATTACAAAACAACAACACACGAGCGACAGATCAAAAGGTCGCATATTCACATATTGTACACAGTTTAATTAATTGCCGCATAGCCACTCCCACCCCCAACGCCCACCGCCCATCGCCCGCCGCCCACGGCTCTTGTTTGTCTGTTGCGTATCTTGCAGTTACAATCTGTGGCTATTATTGAACAACAGCTGCGCATTTCTCAGAGCCCGGCCGTAAAAGTGCGAATGATATCGGGTCAACAAAATGTGCGTAGTTGCCATTATTATTATTATTATATTTAGTATGCTTTTATTTATTTCTTATTTATTATCTGGTATCTCGCGGCGTTCATAAACAACGCTCATATTTGGTTTTCATCACTTGCACAAATATTCTAGCGTGATTTTTGGCATTTTTTCAGGTTCACAAAAACATGTCGCACCGAAAACCACAAAAGCAAATAATATTGACATACAAAATATATCAACGAAAAAAAATTCAACACAATTTAATTTGCTTAAGTGTGCATATAAATGAAGTAAATAAGGTAAAGGTCGTTGGTTTCAAGGCTGAAAACTTTTTTTGAACTATTTACCATGAAAAATGGGTTTAAATTAGAAATAACAAGTAAGAGGTTCGAGTCGGAAGCTCCCGACTAGGGGATACCCTGAACCCTCTTCTTCCAACAGGCGATAGGTATAAAATGAAAGATACTTGATATATATATATACTATTTTCGAAGCTTAATGTCAAGTTTGGTGATTTTAGCTCTTATTATTTACCGAAATTGCTCAAAAAACAGAATTTCGATATAGATTTTTATCGATTACCTGGAAACAGGGCAAGTTATCGAATATCTGAAACAAACTCGATCTGCGTGGGCACTAGGAGGACCTACAGCTAAAATTTCAAGTCTCTAGCTCCTATAGGTTCTGAGATCCTTGCATTCATACATACGGACAGACGGACGGACGGACAGACGGACGGACAGACAGACGGACATGGCTAAATCGACTCGGCTGTTGATGCTGATCAAGAATATATATACTTTATGGGGTCGGAGATGCTTCCTTCTCCCTGTTACATACATTTGCACAAATAACCTTTTTACCCATTTTCATTGGGTTAAGGGTAAAAAAATGTTGGCTTTAAAAATGAGTCGAGGGAGAAATGGGAGGGGGCATTCAATAAGTGAAATATTTCCAATTGAGATTGTTATTTCTAGCTCTCATAATTTTGATATTCTACATTTCTATTGCTTGTATGGAAGTGGCAGATATTGAAAAAGCATTTAAAGCACGTTCTGCGTATGGTATATGAAAAAATATATTTAAATATCTAAGAGCTGGACTCTCTCAGCTTTTAAAATCGACGACAAACACGGCTAAAGTGCACTCAGCTCGTCCTCATGCTTCCTGTGCCTTACTCAATAACAATAAACTCTTTATACCCATGTTTAATAGTTTCAGAATATATTAAAATACCATCGGAGATTCCATCTGCGGCATTTTTCATTCTAGAGGGGCGGATATTCAAAAATTCTAAAGCAAGTCTGAATTTTCACAAAGATCTCTGATTTTGAAACCGATCAATCGGATGGTGAACAGTAAAAAGTTTTCATGCAACTGTTTTCCGCCAATTTTCCACAGTTACGGCTGGAATTTACAAAATCGTTTTAACACGTTTTCATTTGAAACGATGTTCATTAAGTTCTTCTGCAGGGCTTTAAAAATAAGTTTCAGGCCGATTGGACAAAAGCTGAAACTTCGCCTGCACAACCCGTGACCTTCATTTTTCAACAAGGAGGCGTGGTATTTCCGAAAAGCGTGAAACACGTCTCATATTAGTTTTCTTTACACCCAAAACTGCGCCCAGTCAACCCTCGGCACGCGATTATCAATGAAGAGGAATGGGATTTCCGAAAAGTGTGAAACACCACTCAAATGAATTTGAACAAAGATCTTTGAAAATGAACCGTAAACAAGAAACTTGCAAACAAACTTTTTTCGCGTCTTTTCCACACTTGCCAGTGGAATTTGTCAAAAGCCCGTCTTAGCGTGAAACTTCATCATATAAGTTAACTATAGTGGAAAGTCCGCAGGCAGCGTGAATACCCTTACGCTAGCCTTGAATATTTAAGCTGCGCTCGCCTTAAATATTAATCAACTCATTTAGCTATGCATCAAAATAAATTTTAGATTACTAAAACTATATTATATACGCTTTTTTTGCATCAAGGCTTCAGCATGTTAAATAATTAATAATATATGCATATAATAATTGAATAACAATTAAAATGTTTGCGTAATAAACTGCATAATAAATCATAAATTTATCATTTCAAATTATTGCAAGGTAATTGTTACGGGAACTCACCTGTCAAGGTGGCAATCCTTTTTATTCGTTTCGCGCAGCTCGTTTTTTATATTTGCAGAATTTTACACATGAAATAATTTAGTTTTTATGAAATTGTGTGCAAATGTTGGCGCGTTTTATCTATTTTCTTTTCTTTTTTTTTCAAAGTAAATTCCTTGTTATGATATTTATTTGAGCAGAATTTGTGCACCTTTTGGACTCTTTTTTATTTGTGTGGCAGCTGCAGCAGCGAAAAACATTGAAAGGCGTACTTAATGTGGCATGGCTAAACGATCGTAAAAAACATGGTTAAAGTGCTTCTAGTGGGAACATGTGTATTGTGTTGTTGTGTGTGTATTGGTGTGTGTATTGGTGTGTGTGTGTGCAACAGTTGCCGTTACTGGTTGCTATTTTATGGCTGTGGCAATAATAAAAATAAAATTAAATTGCAGACCACGCAACAGTTTGCAATTATGTGCAAATGCACATGGCCCTTGGCCAGGAGTCCAGTTTAAACGTTAAGCAGACGCTCAGCTTTTGGCCAATTTGTTTTTAATTGTTTCAACTGCTGCTGCTACTGCTGCTGCTGCTGCTACAATAACATTTATTTCAATTGAACTTTAGTTTTGAATTTTGTTTCACTTGTTGTCACAGCGCGCACTTTTTGAACTGATGTGAGTGCACTCACAATGGCCATTCATTTAGTCACTTTATTCATCATCATCGTCAGCATCTCCACACTGTAAAAACTTATTGGAGCTGTTGATTGCGATTACATTTTGCCTCTCCGCTTTGCTACTGCTAGTGCAACCTTCTGCGACGCCAGCCAACTGCGAACTGAACTGCTCCAGTTTCGTATTTCACCTTATAAAGTGCGAAGCGTCGCCGTCGCTGCTGCTGTCGCTGCTGCCGTTACTGCTCCCGTGTTATCCTTATAGGCGAGTCCCGACTGGTTGTGCCTGTCTGCTTCCAGCTGGCTGTTGGTTTGATAAGAAGCCGCATTGGTGTGCGTGTGCTTGGCGCTCTCGCGTCACACACTACTGAGCGCATGGGAGAGTGCGAGAGCGTGAGCGAAGCTATTGGAAAGTCAGAGCGTATTTGGCGATGTTTCTCTTCGCCAAGCTTTGCCAAGAAGTTGTGTTTAGCTGTTAGAAAGATTTGAAAAATTCGTTTCTTAAAAAAACTTGATTAATTTAATTAATAACTATACAAAAAATTGAAAAAATAATCACAACAAAAATTACTTAAATACTATATTAAATTAAAATAATATTAATATTAAATGTACTTTCCAATATAAGAAAATTTTATATTATTATTTTATTTGTTTTTCGAAATTTTAAAACTATTTATATATTAATCTGGAAAAGTATTTGAAGCAAATAAAAAAATTTTTATTTAATGTATCCATAAAATATTAAATATTTCTAAGATTCATATTAGCTTTCCTGATACGTTTATTGTTTTATTATTTTTTTTTTTTTCGTTGTCGAAATTAATTATGATTAATTGCTCCAATTATTAACATGCAATAATTGAAAAAACAGCATCCGGTATTTTTATTAATTTATGATTTGCTTATATTTTTTTTTATATTATCATTTAACTGTTGTCTATTCATTTTTCTTATTATTCATTTTTTCATTTAATCTCCAACTTCACATTTCATCTTTTTTGTCAAAAAGCAGTTACATTTATCTAGCTCGCTCGCTTTCACATCGTGCTTCTCTCTCTCTCACGCACACACGCACTCCATTTATCATGCTACGCAGTTCCGAGTTTTGGGTGTGAGCTTTCATGAATGAACACCCTCCTGTTGCATTTGTTTTTATTGTAAAAAGTAGGTGAGCATCTGGCTGGCTCTCGTTCTCCCGCTCACACTCACACTCACACACACACACAAGCGCCTGGCCCTGAAGTTCAAGATGAAGGTTATGCAGCAAGCAAAAACTCGAACGTAAAAGTTACACACGAGTGTATGTGTGTGTGTGTTGGAGAGGGCGAGCTTTTACTCTCACGCGCTCATTCTATGTTAGTCGTGCGCTCTCGTTCCGACGCTCACCTAAAACATCGCCCACTGCTAACATGTTGCTGTCCAGCTCGCGAGTCGCGACATTCGCGTCGTTTTGTTTTGTTTTCAATGTTCGCTTTTTGAATTACTTTTTTGTGTGCGTGTGCGTTTATGTGTGTGATGGGCGACACCAAGCAATGGCGCTGCCTGCAGTCCCCTCCCCACTTGTGCTCCTTTGGAGCCTTAGCTGTTTCTTTGGTTACGCATTTCTTCTGGCGCCCGCCTTGTGACCCAATTTTGTGCCTTCACGTACACGGCGCTCAGCTGGAACAGTTGGCAATCGGACAGTGGCAGCGGCGACGGCAGAACCAGAACCAGCAGCAGCAGCAGCGGCATGCCTGGCATTAAAGGCATTTGGTTTGCCCACAGATTTTGCAGTCATTCCTTGCGCTTGATTGGCTTTGTGCCTTTTTTGTGCGCTATCACATTTTGAGCGTGAAACAACAACAATCATAGGAGCAGTAGCATAGTCGGGAGGGGGCGGGGGATGTAGGCTGGGAATTGGAGCTCACATATTTGCATAGTGCATGAGGGCGTGAGGGCTTGCTACGTGGCGTATGCTTGATGCTCGCTTGCTGCCAATTACTTGTCAACATGTCGCGCTCCAGCAGCCAACCAACTAACTGTGATTGATTGTCTATACGTGTGTGTGCGGGTATGTGTGCGAGTGTGTGTGCGTGTGTGTGCGGGTGTATTTGTATTGTTGTCAGTGCATAGCTGAATGGGCAGCTAGCTTCCAAAACTGCAGCCTTGCTGCGAAGCAACTAAAAACTAAGCAACTAAGAATGTTCTAGTCGAGTTTGCCCGACTAAGAGATACCTTGTTATGGAAGCTAATGATTGATGATTAGTTATGTTTTCTAATTTCCTTTTCTCTAAAAAAGATTTTTCTAATAATTTTTGTGTGTACACTCTATAAACATAAAATATTCGTTCCATAATGAAGGAAATTCTATAAGAAATTTTACTCTTAACTTTTTTCAATTTTGAGTTTTACTCTTAATATACCCAATCTAGGTATACCACACGATTGTTCCTGTAGTCTGTAAGATAATTTTAGATTTTGGAGAGATGTCCGTTGAAATCATCAGGTATCGCAGATGCCTTCTACCGCTATACGCCCCTTTATCCATTTTCAGTGCTTACAGGGTATCAAAACATGGCCACCGAAGTTTTTGTTGTTGTTGTTGTTTAAAGTGACATTTCAAAGGACAACTGCACTTGAAATTGAACCGCTTGGACAGGCGGCAACAAAAATGCCTTGGCCCAACTAGTATGCCCTGCACGCTGCACACTGTGAAAATGATAAAAGTTTTTTGGAGCTGTGCGCTATCTTTTCTTAATTTGAGTTGGCCCAGTTAACAACTTAGCCCAGTCAATGATGTGAACTTTAGAACTTTGATTGGCTGACTGACACACAGAAAGACACACGCACACAAAGATACACACACAAGCATATAGTATACACATATAAATCTATATTTACACTGAGAGAAAAAATTTGTTGCATTCAAATGCAAATGGGAAGGGGTTAAAATTCATATAGTTTAATTTGTACAATTTGTTGTTGTTCCTTAAATAAATAAAACTGACTATTATAATAAAAAAAAACGATTTGAGTAGAAAAAAGGATTTGAGTCATTTAAATAGACGAGCAACAACTTATTTTAGATAAAGTTCTGTATTTTGAACCTGTATTTAATCATTTGGGGAATACAAACATTATTTTCAAATAAAAATTTTGTTTTTAAACACACAGAAATTTCGGCCTGGACTTGATTGTGATGTGGTTTTGCCTTGGTGTGAGTATAAAACTCTTGACTTCTATTGTTTTAACTATTATAAGTACAGGATATAGCTACAAAGATAATGTTCTATCTATAGCTATAGCTAATGTAATACTACATCCAAACTCTAGCCTGCTATTCGAACCCGGATCCAAGTTCCTCAATTGCCTAGATGACCTTACACTTAAAAAACGAAGTCTGGGGAACTTTTCTCCAAGTGTAGAAAAGAATTTTGTGGAGTCTTAGCCATGCAGTGGAGACTGCAGAGAAAATCCGGTGCCTCATTAAAAACATAATCCAACAGCTGGGATAACTTAATTTGTGCTTGAGCAGAAATGCCAGGATACAAGAGCCGGAATGCTCCGCAGGCTGCCCTTAAGTGCATTTTCTGCTACAGTTGCAGCCAAAGCGGGTGGCATTTAAGCTGATAAGCCCCCGGGCCTGGCTTAGACAAATGCAAATGCAAAATTGTAGCTACAACGGAATGTCAGCTATTTGTACGGCAATGGGCAACAACAATTGCGAAAATAGATCCACATTGTGGCAGTATAAATCACAGTTACTAATTATGCTTTCATTTCGACCCGGTTTACGCAATCTAATCAGATCTGGACTCCGGACAGGCCCAGGAAAAATGTCGAGTAAATACCAAAGCCAAATGCCAATGTTGCCTAGACACGCAAAAGAGAAAATACATTCCGAAAATAAAAAGCAGAAAAAGAAAACATTTTGTGGTGCTGTGACTATGGCCATTATCACACAACTCACATAAATAAACCAGGTCAAAGTTTAAACGGTTTTTCAGTGCTCAGCGATGCGCACGTGAAAATTAAGGTAAAAGTGCAAAGCAAAACAAAATGAGCAGTGGGAGCATTTTTTATTAGCTAAAGCATTCCCCAGTCCCCTATATCAGGACGAGAAAAGTTCGAAAGTTTAAAAAAAAACGAGGTATTTTACGCGCTTCAGTTTTTATTTGCTAAAATTTAAACCAAAATAAGGTTTACTTATCGCTATATTTCCACTCAGTTTTTATATCTGGACTGTTCTCTCCACTCTTTTAAATTTCCCCTTAATTTCCCCTTTTTCCAAATTTTAACAATTTTGTCAATTGTTGCCTTTAATTTCTGATATGATATTAAAATAAAATTTTAAATATCGCTAAATTCACTTTGTTTTCTTATCTTGGCAGTTGTCTCCACTCTTTAAATTTCCCCTAAATTTGGGAAATTCGTTTCGAATTTCCTTATTGTGAAATTTTTTCTAAGTAACATTTTTTGATTTTGCCAAACTTAAAAAAATATCTCCGTATTTTTCTTCAATTAACATTTTTTCGAATTTCCCTGTAAATTTCCTAACGAATCGCCCTTTTGCAAAACGGTAATTTTCATTGGCAGCCAAAAACAACTGCACAAAAGTGAATATACAACAATTTCCATAAAAATATTATGAAAATAAAAACACTTTTCAATTTTCACTCTATAATATATGGTCACACTTCAAATGCGATGCACGCGCGCATCTCTAATTAGGCAAAATAAAAAGTGTAGCATATTTTAGTGCGAAGACTTTTAATGTGTGCGCCACACGTTGCGACAGTCGCGATAAAGCGACTCGATAGAATATCTGCCCACGCCCCAAATTGAGGCCGTTGAAATAACTTTAATACGTTGGCCTGACAGTTGTCGTTGTTGTTTTTGTTGTTGTAGTTTATTTGTCTACTGTTACTTTCGGTTTGGCTGGTTTCAAGGGTGTGACCGCATTTGCACCTGAGGTCGGTCACGAAGACTTCGCCTTGAGCCACGTTTCTATTCTCATGCTGTTGTTGTTGTTGTCTGTGGCGCAGTTTAATTAAAGTTTAGTTTACTTGAAATTTCGTTGCTCATATTATTGCTTTATTTACTGAAGCGTTGCCAAGCCCTGACCCTTTAGCCCTCGCTGCCTACCTCTTTAATCCCGCCGCTCGAGTGCCAGTTGCGTAATTTATTTGACTTCTAAGCATTGCAGCAAATTGTGCGCACGTGGCGTATGCGTGTTATTTTCATTTATTTCTCTAGACCTGTGCAACGCCTGCAGTTTTGGGCCCTACACCCTTTCATATACTGTATTTATTTTTCATGGCTATAATCGAAAACCTTTTTCCTTGCCAATTTCTTTTGATACGATTTCTTTCTCCCTTTTTTCGCTTTGTCTGCCAAGTTTTGTCACGTAAATCAATTAAGCAACGGTTCAAGCGAACTTATTGGATGGCATGAAAAAGTCTCGAACAGGTTTCAGACAAAGGCAAAAACCGAAAAAAAAAATTAAACAATTTGCCAGCTGAGCTTGCTCGTTCCGACGATACTCTGTACAAGAAATAAGGTACGTCAGGTTACAAAGGGAAAACTGTGTTAAGCAAATCTTATTTTGTGCCTAAAATCATTTCAATATGCCCTTTTTTAGCGCATTTCTAGTGTAAAAAGGTTATCTGTGTGAAAAGTGTGAAATTCGCAGCTGTCAGTACATTCAAGATGAGTTGGTTCAGGTGCCCGAAGCAGCCAAATAGCGAACATTATGCCGAAAAGTTTTCGAACAATACAAATATTAGAAAACTGCCGAATTTTCAGCTTAAATAAACTAATATATTAAACGGGCTGGGCCACACCCACAAAAGCAGGCGACTTCGATTGAAGCCTCAAGGTTGCAGTCAATAGAATTGTATTTGTATTTGTATTTGTATTTGGTCCCAGTTGGACGCCTGGCCTAGACTTGGCCAATTTGCAGCGCCGTCTGGTCGAGCTTTGCGTGCACGGCCTTTGGCCACGAAACGTTGATCGATGGCGGCCAGAAATTATGGCCAAAGATATTGTGACACGCGATTCCATTTTGTTCAGACAGTTTATGCCATTTGCATGGGAATTGGTAATTTTCATTTAAGTTTATTAACTAATTGCATTCGCACTCGCTAATGGAAAATGCGCTCGACAATGCCATATAAAATGGTTAATTTATCACGCGTCCCACACGGCGCATGGTTTATATATTTAAATCAATGTCGTCAAATTGCGGGGAAAAACCAATTAACAAAGTGCTCAACGACATTGTCAAAGTGTGAAAATGGTAGTTGATGGGGCAGCAACAGCAACAGACGTTGCATACGGCAGGCTGCAAGTGAGCTTCATATGGATCAAAGCTGCAGCTGACAGCTGCCAGTTGCTAACTTTTCAATTAGCCAAAAGTTGGTCACAGCATTATTTAGTGGCCCAAAGGAAAAGGGCTTATATGCGCCTTCTTTACAGTAAAAACTTGCCGGAACGGACAAACTCTTTAGCCGAGTAATTTATTTAGCGCCAATCTCTTCGACTTACTTTTGACCGGTACAAAAAGTTTAACTGCAAAGAACAAACAAGTTTCTTGACAATAAAAATTTATGTGAAAATTAAAAAAATAAGTTAACTTAACAAAAATTATTTGTGGTTCAGTTTGCGGAACGATTTAATGTCTCGCTTAAGGCTTTATTTGTTAAGTCGATTTTCCTCACCCATTAACTTAGTTTTAGGGTTGAACTTTGGTTGGTTTTTGTAGAAGGGAATATCTCTTAGCCCACAATATATATATATTCTTGGTCAGTATCAAGGGTCAATCAATGGCTCCTTTGTCTATATTAAAACTATTATTATGACATATTATTATGACATACTTTCTATACAGTACATAATTACATGTGCCGGAATCGGCCAAATCTTGCCACTATATCATATATGTATATGCCATAGGAAAGATCGCTTCTTGCATGAAAAACTTATCTGTTCATCAAAACATCTTAACCAAGCTCAGCAATTGTGAGCTTTCACCTGCCTACGCACATTTTTTCAACCTGTTTGCTGTAGTTATCTTTTTAGTGCACATATTTTTTACAGTGTAAGCACTTGCATTAACTTGTGTGTTGCTTATTATATTGGCCAAAGTTATGGGCAGCTAATTAGCTGGCGGACAAAAGCGGCAGTTAGGTAGAAACGCTTTCAGAACGAAAGCTTGAATAACTGTTGCTTGCTTGAAGGATATCCTGCCTATTCTGTTTGCCTTTCAATGCAGCATTCACACCCACACACCTACACACACACACACGCACACACAGATACACATAATTGCGATACACTCTTTGTGTACCTTGCATAATCGCAAAAGCAAGCTACAAAGGCAAACACGGAAACAACTTGTTGCAACTACAGCAACAAAAAGCACGTGTGTGTGTGTGTGTGTGTGTGTGTGTGTAGGTGTGCGCTTGTGTCTGTTTGCTACAACAAAAGCGAGGCTCAGGTGTTGAGTGTTGCGCTCAGCACACGTTATAAATAATTTATGTTGTTTGCGGAGCAGGTGTACAAAATTCATGCCACTTCGGACCTTGTGTTAAGAGCTGCTCCTTCAAAAATCCTTCAAAAGCAAACTCAAAATACTTAAGATGTGTGCATCTAAATTAAAGCAACAAAATATCAATTTAAACCTTATGCTTATGCCAACATTAACAAACTTTGAGCGCGCCCAGCGTTTTTCTTAAAATCTTAAATATTTGCTTTTCACCCATTTTCCATTCACTGAGTAAGTGCAAGGGGTGGATTTTCTAAACTCGAGGACATGTAACGGTTAATTTTTTGTAGAGATTTTATCGTTTGGCCTGTGAACAATCAAAATTCATTCGCGTTAACATTTAAACAATAAATTGTATTATATCAAACACAATTAATGGAAAAAGCTGGTCTCTGTTGATATTGAGTGGGAATGAAAACGATTCGAATTCCATCGGAGTCAAGAATATCAAAACATCACTTTCTTTTTCAAATATTTTCAATATTTTCAAAACCACAAAAAAAATGAAAGCTTGGTCTATTGAAACTAGAAACCTAACCTAAGATTTCGGACAAGGAAGTAGATTTTGAACAATTTAATTTAACATATTTCTTAACTAAGCTTTAAAAGTTACTTCAAAGAAAATCGAAAATAAAACAATTGAATTTACTAAACTCACACCTATATTACCATTCCCTCCATATTCCACGCTTGTCGGTCGAAAGCGTAACTAAAGCGTTTCTCTTGAAACGATGAAACACAAAGCCACTCAAAAAATAAAGTAGTATAATGCTGTATAATACAAAGTTACTACACTTACATCTATACCATTCCCTCTATATTCCACGTTTGTTAGTGGAAAGCGTAACTAAAGCGTTTCTCTTGAAAAGATGAATCACAAATCAACTTTTTAGCCTTTTTCCTGATTTGCAAACAACACCAATAGTTAATTAGTGTAAAGCTACTAACACATTAGCTCTCAGCCCTGACACGTTTACAGTGTTTACAGTGCAAGCCAAACAGCAAATCGTAATTCAATTAAATTTATTTAATTGCTTGCGCATTTTGCAAATAACAACTCGTTCAACACAAAGGACCCGCAGTAGGGCTTTTATCGATGAACAACAATGGCCATAAGCACTTTTACATATTGTAAATAAAACAAAGAGCAATTGTAACATGCACAAAACATACGTGTGTAACTATAGCGCAGAATAAAACAATGCCAAACAGAACAAACAAATGGTAACGCCGGATGCGAATGTGAATGCGAATGTGAATGTGAATGTGAATGCGAATGCGAATGCCCAAATGCGTGGGTGTATGTGCACGGCGCGAGGGGGGCGCGGTAATTGAAATGCCGTGGCGCGCAGCGAGTGCCCCTGCCGTTTCCGCTAAGCACAGGCAATCAGACATAGGCACGGCCAACACCAAACCGAACCAACATCCCCCCGCCCACCGACACATCCCGCCAACGGCCCTCGATCTGCTCCAAAAGCAAATCAAACTCAAGGACAGCGACCGCCACAATTTCAAACAATGTAACAAGGGACGAAGGCTACAGTCGAGCGTGCCCGACTAGCTAAATACCCTACGTACTATGCAATAGGTATTTTTGGCAGCACCTGTGCTTTTCCTAAGCACCACTGCGGAATATGTTCTTAAACAAGTTCTATATTTATCATCCGATAGATAAACATGAATAATATACTAATAATAATAATATAAATATATATAAAAACTTATTCCTCGTATGTAAGCGAGACGCCTTATACAAAACTTAAAGTCTTTACCTCTTATTGCGTGCTGCAATAACTTCAAACGGACGAACAGAGAGACAGACGGAGAGAAAGAAATAGCGGGATCGAGCCAGCTGTATGTATGTATGGAGTCGGCGATGCCACCTTTTGCCTGTTACATAAATATAAATCTTTAACTCTCATTGCGTGCTGCAATATCTTTAAACGGACGAACAGAGAAACAGACGGAGAGAAAAATATAGCGGGATCGAGCCAGCTGTATGCATGCAATGGTGTCGGCGATGCCGCCTTTTGCCTGTTACATAAATATAAACAGCTGCAATATACCGCAATTTAACCGTTTTCAATGGGCAGCGGACAGAACAGGCAACGCAATGTTAAAAGCGAAGCCTTTTCATTTTGCAATTTCTAAACAGCTGCCAATGCTTTTTTCCGGCCACCGTTGTTGCCATGACGTCCTGTTGCCGCGATAAGCCTTTGCCTTTTGTTTTAGCAGGACGCCGCGAATTGATGCCGCACCACGCGGCGCCCTTTTAATGGACAGCCATTAGACGCAAGCCTTAACTTTAGCACACCATAAAAGTACACAAACAAAACGCAGTTACTTACGTGACGTGCATGCTGTGGATTAACGCATGCAGCTTGGATTAAAAGTCCCGTGGAACAATTTAAAAAAATATAAATTTACACAAAGAACGCAAAACAAAAAAAGCACTTCACTTTAAAAATGGCTGCGCTTGGACTGATCTGTACAATCGAGTGGGCAGCTCGCATGCATGGCTGCCACTTGTAAAACTAGTTTGTACCAACAAATACAAGAAAGTGTACCATTGTCGGTGAATGTGTACCATGTTTAAAGGAGTTTTTAGATCATTTACGATGGGAATAAATGGTCGTAGATATTTTACCATATATATTTGAATATAGATTAATTGAAATGTTTTTCAGAGGTAACCAGAAACAGTAAAAAGTAGTAGTGGGTAACTATATATGTAAATATTGTATATGTACCATATTATTAAAGAAAAGACCCAGTGTACCATTGAACCAATAAGGTACCAGATTAGGTACCGTTTTAGTTCATATGGCACACGCATTAAATCAGTGTTGAAAAAATAAACAGTTACTTAATATTCTCAGTTGCTTCAATTATAAATTCGTAATTAATGAAATAAATGAAAAGTTAATCGCAAGCAGCTGTCCGCACGCTATTAATAAAACTTTTTCTGAATATATTTATATTAAGATTATATTGTTGCTTTTATATTGTTAATTGTATTAATTGCGCGTTGTTTAAAGTCTTAACAGCAGCAAACGCATGGTTGCATTGTAAAACCTCATCAAGCCACTGGCCGCAGCTGTTTAAAGTAGTGTTGAGAAATAGTTGAGCCCTGCTCACAGCTGTTGCGCCTTGGCTCATCTCTAATTTATATGTGCATCTCGCTCACGCACTTGTTGCTCTTTAGTCCGAAATTAGTTTTTATATATTTTACTTGCAATGCAACGATTTCTTAGTGTATTTGGTGAACAAAAATGCAAAATTATTGGCATGATACATGTGGATGCGCTGCCAGGTAAGGCCGTGTCGCATGCTGCAAAAAACAAACGCATTTTCGCATTGATTTTAATAGAACAAAATAAAACCTAACAACAACTCAAGGCACGCCGCGCTATGCCGGCAACTGGCAACAGAGCATTGAGAAGGCCAAGCACGAGGCGGAGCTGTACAAAAAGCACAAAGTGGTAGGCAGACAATGGCAATAAATACATATCAATGCATATAGCCTAATGTCCACTTCCCCACAGGACGCTGTGATCATTGAGAATATGCACGACATACCCTATGTGCAGGATCGTCTGCTGGGGCCCGAGATTGTCTCCTGCATGACCCGACTGTCGCAGGCTGTGCGCAGCATCATGCCCCTCCGGACGCCCTGCGGCGTGCAGGTGGTTGCCTGCGGCAACAAACAGGCACTGGCCATAGCCAAGGCCTGCCAGCTGCAGTTCATACGCGCCGAGAGCTTTGTCTTTGGCCATGTGGCCGACGAGGGCTACACGGACGCGTGTGCCGGTGATCTGTTGCGCTATCGCAGGCACATTGATGCACAGGATGTCCTCGTATTTACGGATATCAAAAAGAAGCACAGTTCGCATGCCATTACGGCGGATGTTAGCCTGCTGGAAACGGCGCAGGCCGCAGAATTCTTTCTCACCGACGGCATCATCGTTACGGGCGCGGCAACGGGCAAGGCGGCCAGCGACAAGGATGTGCAGGAGCTGTCGGGCAAGCTGAAGGTGCCACTCATGATTGGCTCCGGTGTGACCAAGGAGAACATAAGTCAATATTACCATGATGCACAGGCAGTTATCATAGGCTCGCACTTCAAGCATAATGGCAACTGGGAGCAGGATATCGACGAGCAGGCGCTGGAGAATTTTATGCACAAGGTCTGTGCGCTGCGAGCGGCGGCGTAAATGCGACCATTTGTATTGTAAATGCTTTTATTGTGTATATAAATGAATTGAAATTGTGATATGGTTTGTGGCATAAATTAATTCTAGAAAAGATTGGCAAAAAAGTCATAAATACGCTCGCGTAGCGAGGGGGGAGCTTTAATGGCGCCCGCATTGCTGCCGCCGCTGCAGCTGCTCGGGAATACAAATGGCTTCTGTTCGTACGCATCTAGCGTATCGTCAAACTTAACGCGCTTCTTTTGTGGCGCCGCATACAAATGTTCCTCCTGTCTAGATTGCAGCGTCATCTGGCCGGGCGTTGTCCAGCCGCCACTTTTCTGACTGCCTCCACTCGAGCGCAGCGGGAAGAGCACATCACAAAAATTGCCATCCCCCAGCTCCGCATCAAACAGATCCTCACGCTTAATGGCCGTGGGTATGGTATTGTCCACGTTATGCGCCCGAAAATAGGACTTGGAATCGGAGTAGCGACTGGCGAAGCCATAGCTGGGATCCGAATCCTGCGGCTGAGCTGAGTTGGGTTTGCTGCGCTTGAGTATGCCGCGCACATTGCCGGACTTATCGCCGCCGGTGGCAATCATTTTGTAGAGCCTGGAAATGCGATTCTCCTTGCTGGAGGACAGCTGCTCCTCTGTATTGATTGGACGACGCAGCTGGACTGCGGGCGGCGGCGGAGCTGGACGCTTGACAGCCGCCGACGAAATTGTTGTGGACACCTTGGGCGGATTTGGTGCAGCGCTGGGAAACTTGCGCTTGCGCTGAAAGCAAATGGTTTGGTAACCGGCTGACATATCGGCCTCGTCCTCGGAATCGGTGCTGCGATTCTTGTTGCGAAACACAGTCTCGTAGTCCTGCAAAAAATACAGCTTAGCTACAACTGGCACCGCTTGAGGATTGGCTACTCACGCATTTGCGCTTGTTGGGACTCAGTACATAATCGGCGCCAAATTTCTTCATGTCCTTTTTGCGAATGGGCGTCCGTTTGCTGGAGTCCTTGCGCAACGTCTTGCGGCACTGCACATGCAGATCGATGGCATCGCGTATGAAGCCCACCCAGGTGCGTGCCACCTGGAGATCATCGCTGCCAAAGATGATGCCATCACTCTGACAGGTCAGCTTGAAATTGCCGGGCAACATCTCGTAAACTTTGCACTTCTTGAGCGGAAAAATGCAGCAGCATTCGAGAGAGTTCTCCACCTGAGTATTGGGCGGACGCTCCTTGATCACCTTGCAGTACATGAATATGTCCGACATGAGCACACAATAGCGCTTGATCTGCTGACCCTTGTGCGTGATCTTGTAGAGCATGCCCTCCTTGATGACCCGTCGCGAGGGCTTCACAATGTTGGGCGTGCGATTGACGAGCGAGTTTTGTAGATGTATCAAGTACTGTGTTATCTCCTGCTCCTCCACGCAGGAATTGATATGCGAGGCCGTCGCCTCAATCTCCTTGACCGATTCTGTGAGACAAAGAAGAACATTGAGATCCTGTGCAGAAATTGGAATAGGAATAGGAGCTTGCCCTTCAGCAGCTTGTAGTCCGCATCCGCGGGGCTTGTGTAGAGCAACACTTGCTCCAGCAGCAGCTTGTAGCGTGGCACACGCTGTATGGGCACAATCATGAGTGCGTTTAGCTTGCGCTGCACCTCTGGCCGGCTCTCGGTCTCCTCCAGAAATTTGCGAAAAACCGGATTCTTGCTAATCAAATCCTGCAGTATGAACAAAGCGCCGCGATAGTCAAACGCATACACGGAATACAGCTTGAAGAACGGGGCCATCTTGATGAAGGCATGCGCCACATTCTCCATGTTGGCCTCCAGCTCGCGCAGGAACTCGCCATTCAAGTTGTGAATCATCTCGATTTGTCCAAATAGCGCCGTATGATTGGAGGCATCAATGATGGCCTGCTCCTTGAGCGGGCGCACAAAGTAGGTCATCAGCAGCTCCAGCTGCTCCAGGTAGGACTTCTCCGATGTGATGATCTCCTGCACGGCCTGCAGACGGAAGCCAATGCGTTTGCCCGCCTCCGGATTGGGTGAGCCGATGGGGCTGCTCGAGTTGCTGTCCAGCATAGAGCATACTGTCATGGAAGCAATACAAATTAGAAAAAAGAAGCGAAGGCGTCCTGCGAAGGCATCCTAGTCTCGGCCACGCCCACCGCTTACCTTTCTTACGCGACTTGGCTGTCAGAAGGTTTCGCTCCTGCAAAACCTGACGTAGCTCGCGACTGAAGCTGAGCGGTGTATGCGGCGAGCTGGCGACGCCTTGGGTGTGGCTCTTTTGTCTCGGCGTAAACATTTTCACTTAAATTTTCCGCGATGAAAAGTTAATGCAACGCGACGCCAACTGCAACACCTGCTGGCGGCTGTGTTTGAAAATTGCCATTCACTGAGAACGGCAACAAACGGACTTATCGGTATTTATAGTAATGCAGCCCTGCAAGAACAGTAGCCGCAGCTCTCTTTTGAATCAGAGCGCCACAGTGGAACCAGCTATAAAAAAAAAACAGTATAATTGCTCAATGGGCAGCCTAATAACAATAGATTTTGCAGTCCTGCGTTCCTCTATATCTGCTTTGAATAAAAGCGTCACAAGTGAATGTGGAAGATAAAACACTTTGAATGGTCTCAATTGATAACACAGCCCTGAATCAATTGGATGAATTGTGTTCATTTCTTTAGTTCCAGTTGAAGCCACAAGTGGAACCACAAAATCAATCAGTGAACAACTTTTACTTGTTCACTCTTTGGAAACAGCAACTGCAGCCATGGTTCGAGAGTGACTGCATCAACAATAATTATTTTTATACGTGTTCGTAGCCCAATTAATGTTTTAGACTTTTATTTGAATGCGCCACACAGAATGCACGCCAAGCTGAGTGAACTGGAAAGGCGCATTGCGGAGCGGCTGAACGAAAAGATTGGCAAAGATGCCAATCAGCTGCATCGCGCCGCTTTGCTCGTGGACAGCTACAAGGAGCGTCTGCAAACGCTGAGCCAAACCGTGAGTAGAAACAGGGTTTGGCCAGGAAACTAGCGCATCTAACTGCTTCACGGTTTACAGCTCAACTATGAGGAGCCGCAGAACGTGTCCAGCTACAAGTCGGCGTTCCAATGCCAGCAGCAGGTCTGCGAGAGCATTGACTTTGAGCTGGAGAAACTGAAGCAATTCAGCGCGAAACTGAAGCTCAAGCTGGAGGAATGCCAGCCGGCACTGCTGGGCGTGGCCGAGGATCTGCAGCAGGTGCGTCAGCTGCAGAATGTGACGCAGTATTTGCGCCTGGTGCAGGACATACAGGAGATCAGCGCCGCGCTGAGCGCCGCCATCAATGGCAAGGACGAGGCCAAGCTGGTCAACATCTATCTGACCCTATACGAGGGCAATGACTGCGAGCACAGCGTCGTGGGTCGCCTGCAGGCCGTGCAGGCACGCTCCCTCAAATCCTACGCCGAAGCCACAGCCATCTACTGGCACA